TATATATATATATATATATATATATATATATATATATATATATATATATAGTTATTTAATCTAATCTTTAAAGTCTTTGTTCATTAAAAGCCAAAGGCCTGATGCCTTTTTGTCAACACCAAAAAGAAGGAACAGCATGACGTCCACTGCGCATGCTCGGAGCGCAGACGGTGGAAGCCATGTTGGAGCTACAGTGGATTCGGGCTGGGATTTTTGACGCCGTATGCTTTTCTTAAACTTCCAGTTCTCACAATTCCTCGGGGTTCGTCAATCGTACGCGATTGGAAACAATGAACGCCAGTGTCGACCTGTCCCGGCGGAATCCGCAGGAGGATTTCGAGCTGATCCAGAGGATTGGAAGCGGCACGTACGGAGATGTGTACAAGGTAAAAAAAACAAAAAACTGCGGGGAGGGAAGCTTCAACAGAGTTCCATTTTCGGACACAGTCAACATGTTCATCGCTTTTCCTTCTGATTGTATAATTTCTTAAACTGAAGTAAGAACAGTTTGAACCCATGAATAGAGCGTTTCTAATGTCATGTTATGAACCTTCTTTATTCAGATATTCACATGCGCTGTATGTTTTTCCTACTATTCGTGTCTATAATTCCATTGTCGGACACATTGCTTAAACTGGACTATGTTGACGTTTCTTGTTTGGTTTCCTTGCCCGACTGTTGGCAGGCCGTATAGACAATGTCCAAGTAATAATAAATCCTGTTCGCAGTCAAAAGAATTGCCACGGCTTTTTACAAGCCATAAACGATGCCAGCTAACGGTTACTGCGTTTGTTTACCGCTTGTTGGGACGTCTGGGAGGTTGCTGTCCGACAACGGATGCAGCTATCCTGCTAGCATAAAGAAGCTAACCTGGCGCTGGCTTGGCTTCGTGGGAACGTCAAAAAAAATATCAGCGAGCAGTGTTTTGGGTATGTTTTCTGGAACATAAAAAGGAGCAGAACAAGCTACGTTTCTCCAGAAAGTACAATATAAAGTTTACAATAATAAGTTGCAAATGACATGTCTAGCTTGGCCCTGACGAGGACTGACAGCTGCCTGACTGGAGAAACACTTTTACTGAAAGTAGTCGGACTGAGCAAGCTACAGGACTCATTTAATTTCTGTTAACTTTATGAACTCAGTAAAAAGCTTGTGTGCTACTCTCTGAACGGAGTACTCGATGTAAAGAGCCAGGGCTGTTAAGTTTTGGGTGCTTCTCGCTTTGAAGGCCCTGCTGCGTTGTTCCCAACTGGACCGGAGCAGCAGCCCAACACTCCCCAACAGCCACATCACCGTGTTTACTGCATGTCACAAACAACAAACTACCGGTAGTTACACTTTTATGGAACAATCTGGCAAATTTACATGATTACTGGAGACCATCAAACCATGCTACAGGCCATTAAAGCGAATGCACAATGAGGTCACTAAAGTGTGGTCGATCTATGTTTGTGCTGATGTTCAATGTTTTATGTTATGAGTGCTTAGTGTATATTTAGTTGATGTTTTTCTTAGTTCATATCTTAGATGTCATTACTGTTTTTCTTATACATTTTATTGTTGGATGTAACTGGGACCCTGCGTACATAATTTCGCTCCACCACATGTACCACATGAGGTGCGAATGACAATAAAGAAACTCTGACTCTGACTAAATCAGCTGGGTGCCTAAAGGTTCTTTAAGATTGTTGCGTTGATGCTATAAAGAATTGCACGTTCCTCAAAGTCAGTCAAATAACATAAGAGAAAAATCCACACCCTTTTAACTTTGGCAATTGTTTGTTTTGGATTCAGTCTGTTGTGAAATGTAATTTCACAGTCAGGGCAGGATGAAGTATTTGGCAAACTGGAGATTCATCAATCTCAGTGATAACCATAGATTATGTTTGGTCGTCCTCCAAGGTGAAGACCCAAAACTACAAATGTGAAATATTCATCCATCCATTATCTTTTACCCGCTTCTTCCGTTTTGCGTCACGGGGGTCGCCGCTGCCCATGTCCAGCAGTCGCTTTGCGAGAGATGGGGGACACCCTGGACAGGTCTCCAGTCCATCACAGGGACACATAGAGACAAACGACCAATCACTCTCTCACTCACACCTAGGGACAATTTAAGAGTTACCAATCAGCCTAACATGCAGGATTTTGGTCTGTGGGAGGAAACTCACACATTCACAGAGAGAACATGCAAACTCCACCCAGAAAGGCCCCAGGACCGGGACTTGAACCAGGGTAACCTGCTCGCTGAGAGGCAGCAGCTCTACCAACTGCGCCACCGTGCTGCCAATATGAAATATTTTCAGTCTTTTTCAACACATGGCTGGTATCTGTTTCAGCCATATGGTCAGTGTGCCATTCTTTGGAGTGCATTTTGCATATTGTATCCTCCTGTGCTGCAGCTAATCTTGTTTGTTTCTAATTAAAGTTCTGCATCTTGTTGGCAACAGATAAATGACAGAAAATCTTCTGCAGGCCTGCAGCTGGGAGCTGAGTCACCTGCCAAACCTGCCACAAACAGAACATAGTTGGTTAATTTGCACTTATATGCATATTAAATACAGCTTAACAATACTGAATGTCATTTACATGTTTACCCAAGGCTTTCTTTGTTGCCAATAGCAGATATGTCCATTGATAATGTTGGTATTTTGTAAAGACTATCATGTGCCTTAGTTCTTGGTAATGGCAGGTGCTTGCAGAAGGTCAGTGCTCAAACGTGAAACAGTTGGATTAAAGGATGTGCTTCTGAACATGAGTGTTTAGTAATCCTCATGAATGTCTATATTTGGTTCTACCACTGAAAAAAAGTGTGGCTTGGATAGGAATGTCTGAGCAGGAAACAAAGAATGGACTATGCTAGCTTGTTTTCTCCTCTGTTTGTAACCATGCCTCTCTGTAATTGTAACCAAAGGGGAGGAATTGGCTAATGTGGGGGACATGTCCTCTGACGACCATATCACAGATTTAATCCTCCAAAGAATTTGCCTCAGGAGGATTATGTAGTGTCTAACTTTTAATTTCCCTTCTCTTAAAACAGCATTGTCAGACTTTTAAGTTGCTAGTACCGGTAATTCTTTCATAGACAAGTAAGGATAGAAAAAGTTGTGTCCCTAATAGCATTTGGAGTTGGACAATCTATTTGCCAGTGTTTCACATTGTATCACTTAAACTTAGATGAAAACGAAAAGTCAAGTCAGTTCATCATTTAATTCCTCACTTTTGAGGCTTTTAAAAATCTTGGAAAGACAAGTTTTTAATAAACCTTCTTTTTCAGAATATGCTTTCTATTGCAGTTAAATTGCACGCAGCGTGCTTGTTATGTTTACCAATATGACTGGAGTGCAGTGTAATAAATCAAAGATAAGAGAATACCCCACTTTGATGAGGCTGGCATTATCCTTCCACTATTAATTCAGTCATGTATTGATTTGTCATTTTATGTGGGTGCATGATGGCGCAACTAGTAGAGCTGCTGCCTCTCAGCGAGCAGGTTACCCTGGTTCATATCCAGGTCCGGGGGCCTTTCTGGGTTAGCATGCTCTTTCTGTCCATGCATGTGTTTGCTCTGGGTACTCTGGTTTCCACCTACAGACCAAAAACATGCATGTTAGACTGATTAGTAACTCTAAATTGTCTCTAGGTGTGAGTGAGAGAGTGACTGGTTGTTTGTCTCTATGTGTCCCTGTGATGGACTGGAGACCTGTCCAGGGTGTCCCCCGCCTCTTGCACAGTGATGGCTGGACATGGGCACCAGTGACCCCCGCAACCCAAAAAGGAAGAAGCGGGTAAAAGATAATGGACGAAAATAGGGAGCCAGTGTTCTCGTTTTGCATTCGCACATTTTCATCAAACTGCTTGTAAACAGCTTCAGTAAAGGCAAGTATCAGCTTGACATATTGCTCTGAAGTCACAGTAACCTGCTGTAGAGGTATTGCTGGTATATCTGTCTTTACTTGTGCTGTAGAAGGGCGAGATCAAATATTTACCGCTGAACAGGAGGATTTTGTGTTCATTTAATTGAGATGACTGTTGTGGCTTCTTATAGACGAAGCTAAGACAAGGCATAGCAACCAGTCCATGATAAGCCACTCTTAAGTGCACCGTTGTTGGGGTTTTTTTTTGTTTTTTTTTACCTTGAAGTGTTGAGGACTGCTAGTATGCCTAATGACCTTTTTTTTGTTGTTTGTCTTATTACATACATTATTTTCTTTCTGCACAGCTGCAGAAAGAAAAGCTTTGCAGAGAGTGGTGAAGGCTGCACAGAAATCTGTTGGAGTCAGTCTCCCCACCATCACAGACATCTACACCTCCAGATGCAGGAAGAGGGCCACCTGCATCATGAAGGACCCCACCCACCCAGCACACACACTTTTTGCCCCACTCCCCTCAGGAAGGAGGTTAAGGAGCATTAAGTGTAGAACCACTAGACTGAGGAACAGCTTCTACCCTGAGGCTGTTAGACTCATGAATCTCTAACTAGAATAATCACTGTGAAAAACCATATCATGTTGCTGCTGATCTGTTTCATGTTGCTGCTGATCTGTTTCAATGTTGATGTGTTCATGCGTGCACATCTGCTCACAGACTCATGTTCATGTTTGTGCTGATGTTCAATGTTTTATGTTATGAGTGCTTAGTGTATATTTAGTTGATGTTTTTCTTAGTTCATATCTTAGATGTTATTACTGTTTTTCTTATACATTTTATTGTTGGATGTAACTGGGACCCTGTGTACATAATTTCGCTCCACCACATGTACCACATGAGGTGCGAATGACAATAAAGAAACTCTGACTCTGACTCTGACATGTGTGACACTCTTATAAATATACCAAAGTATGGTCAATGGTGGCATGCAACAACATCTTTGACTATATTTTTTGCAGAATTTACCCTGAACACATTAAAACGTTGTATTCTAGACTGAACAATCATAATTATGAGTTTGTCTATCCGGTGATGTCTGTCTTTTGTATGTATTTTCAATCTTTGATGGTCCTTGACCTGCCATAAAAGTAACAGAGACAGACTTTATCAGCTGGAGCCATATTATGCGGCTTTTTGTGCAAGTATAAAAATGTTGATATCCTTAACAGTAATAAACAGGGTAAAGGTTTACAATTTCCCATAGATGGCCCTCGCTGTGCATGTGGGTGGCACAGGCTGGCAGTCATGGTCCTGGAATTTAGGAGCCTTTATCTCCTCTGCCTTTGTGTGTGTGTGTGCATGCGCGTGTTAATCTCCCATTGTTTCATACTGGTCTAACCGAGGAAGGCTGTTAAAGCGGTGAGCTTTGGTGTAACACATACACAAAATCAGATGATTGTATGATTTCATGCTCAGCTGCACACACACAGATGGCTGCAGAGTCGCAGCTGAAGCTGCT